GTGTGTCTTGAGAATTGATTAGGAAACCTTTGGTCTACTGCATGTTAGATCAGTAGGTGTGATAACGGAATAAGCTATAGATAACCTAAAATGTTTAGAACATGGAAACAAATTTAAACCATTGGAATCTCTTATCTCACAACACATATAAGAGGCACTACAATATTTCAATCCTCAATCAATAATCTATGTGACTTTAATTTGTACTCTTCCATGCAGTTGGATCTAAATGAGTGTATCTAGGTTCTATCTTCAATAGTATTGATGAATTATTTTACCAATTTACCTGCTTTTTTTTTTTTTTTTTATTCTTTATTTATGGCTTTTTCACATAACTTGCGGTGTGGGTTATGGGTACAGAAGAGAAAACAGGGAGTGGGGCGTGGGGAAATCGCATATGACAAAGCACATATTACAATTAGGTTTGGCACATTTGTCATGGTGTCGAGTCGATGAGCCCCCGGCCTCAGGTCCACCCCGCCCGAGTCCAGCGTTGGGGAGGTTTGGATCTGATTCCTGTCTGTGCAGACTCTCGGTTTATGGCTTAGTGAGACCTGTATGGAGGTTCTGCGTTGAGGGTCCACGCAGTAGCCTTTGCCTAGTTGGTGTTTCTAAGTGTCGGGGTGAAATTGGGTGGTCCCCGGGGGCCATGGTGCTCTCATGGCATGGTGTTGTGCCTCAGTTACCCCGATAGCTAGTGTGTTCTGGTTTATGGGGTTGGATGTGCCCCTTCTTGGGTTGCGGGGAATTGGGTCTAAAGGAAGGGAGGGGTAGTGGTTAAGCTGGATGGGCTGGAGGGTCGTGTTCGGCCCCTATGGTAGCAGTGATTTTGGTGTGGCCTCCCCTTCTATGCTTATTACGTCTCCCTATGGTTGCCCTGGGTATGGCTATGAGATCCAAGAGGGGCTACTGTTCGTGATGAGATGGGGGGTTCCACTGCCTAGGTACCATCGTGTCAGGGTGTTCGAATTGTATTGGACATGTCCCTGACCCTCCTTGCCCTATCTTCTTACTCACTATTGAGGATGCCTTTCGGCAGACCTGGAGGGGCTGAGTATGGTCGGGTATCCCGCCCTGGCCGAGCCTCCGGGATTGGAAGAGTAGAGGGGGAGGGACCGGGGGTGACCTCCTGTGAGGGTGGTCTGCTCCGTCGTTGAGTGAAGGGCCGGGAGCAGTCCGGGGGGGTTCGTGTCGGGTTGGGGTATGTCTGTTGTTTGCAGGTAGGTGCGCCCCTTTGCTATGAGGCTGTGATATTTGCGTATGGTTAACCTGCCGAGGTCCGAGTTCTCCCCCCCCCCATGGGCCCCAGGCTCGCCCCCCGTCCAGCAAGTGCTCCCGACGAAGCAGTCACACTAGCGGCTGTTTCTATGGGTAATGCGTATCCAAGCCCAGGTGGTTAGCGTCCCAGAGACTCCATGTGCGGTGAAACGTTGTATACGCGTCGTGCATCTGCGCCGTCAGTTCATCTAACTCTCGCATTTCTTTGATTTTGTGTATGATGGCCGGTATCTCCAGGGTCCGTGGGTCTGCCCAGAGCTCTGTGATTGCCCTGCGTGCCGCTAGGGTGATACGGGCCACCAGTTTGTTTTCATGTCTCGTATGGGTGTCCAGAGGTGTATTGAGTAACATTGTCCAGGGCTGTACTGCGATGGGCTTTTCCCCCACCCGCCCGATCAAACGCCGTACCGCTGTCCATACCCGCTGAATTTTCAGGCACGTCCACCAGCAGTGGAGGTACGTGCCCTTCTCGCCACAGAGCTTCCAGCATTCGTCAGTGGGTTTCCTGCCCATTTGATGTAGCCTGTGAGGTGTCAGGTACCACCGAAACAGCGTTTTATAAGCCTGTTCTTTATGCGTAACACATGTTGTAAGGGAGCTGGAGGCCTCCCATATTTTGGCCCAGTCAGACGGGTCTTCTGGTGGGTCAATGTCTCGTTCCCACGCCCTGATGTAGGTAAGGTTAATTTGGGAGACGTGTGTGGTGAGCGTGGTGTAGATGTCTGAAATTTGTCCGCGGCGCATCGGTGCTTCGAAACATTGTTTTTCAAATGGGGTTGGTGGCGATAGCCCTGCCTGCTTGACCACTGGTTGTTGTGCTAGATCACACAATTGGATGTAGCGAAAGAAGTCAGCTGAAGTCAGGGCCTCTGCATTGGGTAAGCCAGGGTACTTGATGATTTCACCCTGGCGGTATAAATGTAGAAGTCTGGAAATGTCTCTCTGGTCGAATGCCGCAAAGTGTTTTGCTGTCATGCCCGGTGGGAAAATTTTATTCCGATATATCGGTGTCACTGGTGAGAGGAAGGAGGATAAGTCGAATTTGGGATTCTGCTTGTCCCACAGGGCGATTGCGTGTGTGACCGCAGAGGAGGTAGGCGGTGGCAGGGGCCTATACTTCGGTGGTACCCACATATAGGAGGACGGGAGTTCCCAGCCCATGACATCGTGCTCCAAATCAACCCATCTTTTGGTGCCTGGTAGTAGGTGCCAGTGCTGGATGTGAGCTAATTGGGCTGCATGATTGTATTGCTGAAAGTTGGGGAGCCCCAGACCCCCCCTGAGCCTGGGAACGTACATTGTTGACCTGCGGATTCTGGGTCTCCGCGACTTCCAGACGAATCTGTCTATGGTCAATTGTAGGTGTCTGAAGTCTTGTTGCTGAATTGGGATTTGCAGTGTTTGAAATAGGTAGAGGAACCTCGGTAGAAGATTCATTTTAATTGTGGCCACTCTGCCCAGCCAAGACACGCCCAGTTTATCCCACCTTTGTAGGTCTTGTAGCGCCGTCATAAGCAGGGGTTTGTAGTTTAAGTCATAGAAGTCCTCCATGATGGTGGTTAATTTAATGCCCAGGTACGTGAGGGAAGTGCTGTTGATATGGAATGGGAATAGTTGCCTCAGCGGGGCAATTTGAGTGTGTTCCATTGCCACCGGCATCAGGGTGGATTTGGACAGGTTAAATTTTGTAACCCGAAAGGGTGGAATATTCTGCAATGAGGGCTACGATAGCCTGGAGGGATTGGATGGGGTCCGTGAGGGTAAGGAGGACATCGTCCGCGTATGCCGCCTCCGTGTACGTCCCTCTCCGTATCTGGATTCCCCGGATTCCCGGATGGCTTCGGATGGCCTGCAACAGCGGTTCCAATGAGATCGAGAACAGGAGGGGGGACAGGGGGCAGCCCTGTCTGGTCCCATTCGCAATAGTAAACGTCCGTGCGCCGGTGTTCGGTAGCAGCAGTCGTCCCGTGGGGCGGTCGTAAATTGCGGTGAGAATATTTAGGAAGCCATACGGGTATCCCTGGTACTTAAGCACGCTAAACAGGTACGGCCAGAGGAGGCGATCGAAGGCCTTCTCGGCGTCCAATGAGAGCACTACCGCCGGGATTTTCTGGTGTTGGGCGTACCATATAGTGTTGAATGCCCTCCTCGTGTTATCCGCCGCTTGCCTTTTGAGGATAAAACCGACTTGGTCGGGATGAATCATCTGGGGCAGGTATGCGTTAAGGCGGTTGGCAAGCACTTTTGTGATGATTTTCAGGTCAGTGTTGAGGAGGAAGATTGGGCGGTAGTGCCCCGGGTCCAGCTGTTCTTTGCCAGGTTTAGGTCAGAGGCACACATCGGCGGCGAGCATCTCCGCGGGGAGCGGCTGTCCCTCTAGGAGCGAATTAAACGTGTTAATTTACCTGCTTTTAAAGGTAAAAGAGGGTCACAATTGGGAGATACATTTAAAAACCAATAAAGAAAAAAGATCCTTGGCATTACACATCACTGTTTAGCAAAGATCCAGGAAACATCTCCTTTCCTAACATCACTTGACCTTGGAGGACTTACAAACGTTCAACCACAATCCACCTACTTAACATGGCCAGAAATATCAATCCTCTGTACTGGAAATAAATGAAAATACTGGGTGGCCGCCAGGGCCGGACTGGGAAAAAAAATTGCACGTACAGATTCTCGGGCGCCTTGTCGTGCAACATAATGCAGTAAGACACTGCTCTTATGCAGCTTCACGGCAGAACTTGTTTATTAATAAGGATACTAAAGTCATATGCCAAGATTTCACTGGAGAGCAGAGAGCACTATGGGCCTTCCATTTTGATTTTATTTCATGTGATCTACACTGAAAATACCGTCAGAGGAATATCCTACATGTGGGGAGTTTAAATACCACTGTATGCTGTTTTACCTGGAGCTGGTTATAGCTCTCATAAATGTGAGTTGGCACTTTTTAACCTTAGTGTTGTCTGTGGCCACACTCCTTTAAGTTATTGCACCATTGGTCCCCTCTGTGTCTTTTCTTTTTCATATGCTGATGAGGATTTGACTCAAGACGCCTTGTGAATTCCTGAAGAGAATATCTGATATTTTTTCTGGTACCTTTTTTGACATTTTAATTTAGAGAGTGTGTGTGTATCTGTCAATGACTATGTGTGTCTGAGTATGTCAGTGTGTTTATCTGTGTGTCAAGGTTTGTGTTTGTTTCACTGTGTGTATCTAAGTGTGTATGTCAGTATGTGTGTTTGTGTATATACCAGTGTATATCAGTGTGTTTGTATGTGCCTATGTGTGTGTGTGTGTGTATATGTCAATGTGTGTATCTGAGTGGGAAAAACGTCTGTGGGTGCAATTGTGTGTATATGTCACTGTGTGTATCTGAGTGTGTGTTTATTTGTTAGTCAAGATGTGTGTGTCAGTGTGCGTGTCTGTGTGTCAGTGTGTATCTGTGTGCCACTATGTGTGTATGTATCTGTATGTCAGATACATATACACACACACACACACACACACACAAAGTAACCACTGACACAGAGAGACACACACTGGCACATACACACACTTTGACACATAGATACACACACCTTGACACACAGATACACACTGTGTGTCAAGGTGTGTGTATCTGTGTGTCAGATTCATACACACTGTCACATACAAACACAGATGCACACACCTTGATACACAGATACACACACCTTGACACACAGATAGATACATACATACACACAACAGATACACAATGCGTGTATCTGTGTGCCAGTGTGTGTGTGTGTGTGTCAGATACATACACACACACACAGAGATACACATTGACACACAGATACACACACTAGCACATACAAACACAGATACACACACCTTGAGACACAGAAACACACTGGCACATCCAAAAAACTGTGCAATTTTATGATTTTTTTTTCCCTGGGGGAGGGAGATTGGGGTTCCACAATGTTGATACACTATGTCAAAGGGTTCCACGGGAAAAATTAATTGGGAACCCCTGCACTAATGACAAGCAAGCCCCCTCTCAAAGTGAGTGTGTTGGTTCAATGCGCAACGTCCTGCTGAAGAGCTCTAGCATGAGAAAAAGGCCCTGTATTTGTTCTGCACAGCGCAAGCAAATTTAATAACATGCTTGCGTTGTGTTTACTTTTAACTTGTCTCTGGTGTCTCCATAAGTGGGATACCAGAGGACAAAAAGGGCCAGGAAAGCGTATGGTGCATGTGTTCGGAGCCTACTTGTGGGATTGCGTGTGTGTGGAGTGAGCTGATTGTGGTGTGGTATTGTGTAAATAGGTCGATTTAATTTGTGTTTGTTGTGTAATATGTGTGGCTAGGGGCAGTAGAGAGGGTGTGTATAGAGGGCACAGTGTGTATAGGGGATGTAGTGTGTGTGTGTGTGTGTGTAGAGGATTCAGAGTGTATATAGTGATCTAGTGTGTGCATGTGTGATTGTGTAGATTAGATAATCCAGAGTTGGGTAAGGGATCTAGCATGTATCTGGAATATAATGTGTGTAGTGGTGCAGTGTGTGTTTGTGTAAGGTGCTGTTGTATTTGTGAGGGGCGCAGTGTGTTGGGTGTGCTGTGTGTATATGTGAAGGGTGCAGCTTGTGTGTGTGTGAGATTGTGCTGTGTGTGTGTGAAGGTGCTGTGGGTGAAAAAGGGTGTTGTGTGTGAGGTTGCTGTGTGTGTGATAGGGTGCAGTGTGTGTGAGGGTTTTGTGTATGTGCTGTGTGTGTGAGTGTTCTGTGTATGTGCTGTGTGTGTGAGGGTGCTGTAAGTGTGAGGGTGTTGTGTGTGTGTGTGTGAGGGCTGTGTGTGAATACGTTTCAAGGGATTGTGTGTGGGGGGAGACAGATTAATTTAAATGTTTTTTTTTTTAAATTAAAAAACCAACAACTTTATATCCCCTCCTCCCTTCTTACCTTTTGCCTGGGAGGGGGGACCGTGCTGCCATCCCTGGTGGTCCTAGTGGTGAGTGAACTCTAGTCTGCAGGGCTAGAGTTCACTCTCGCGAGATCTGAGCGTAGCCATGATAACTGCGGCAATGCTCCGACGGGTCAGTGCCTATAGGCTGGTGAGGGAGATCTTCCCCACCGGACCATGAAGACACACAGCAGGGCCGGCGCTCGGATAGTTTTGCCTGATGGCCGGTCCAGGCCTGATGGCTGCCATTAAGATGTAAAGGCTCCTTGTGAAGTTTCTCCATACCCCATGTCATACAAATGACAGGTGGGATATGATAGAAACATTTAAATACATAAAGGGAATCAACACAGTAAAGGAGGGGACTGTATTAAAAAGAAGAAAAATTACCACAACAAGAGGACATAGTCTTTACTTTACTGAGAGGGTAGTGGATGCATGGAATAGCCTTCCAGCTGAAGTGGTAGAGGTTAACATAGTGAAGGAGTTTAAGCATGCGTGGGATAGGCATAAGGCCATAGGCGTGCGCAGCCTATTGCATTAGGGTGTGCACCCTAAAGTACATGCACACGCTGCGTATATGTATATATATATATATATATATATATATATATATATATATATACACATACACACACACACACACACACACACACACACACATACACTGCTGTGTGTGTGTATGCTCTGTGAGGGTGCTGGTAGTGTGTTATGTGGGTGAGGGTGTTTGTGTGTGCGCTTGTGAGGGTGCTGTTTGTGTGTGAGGGTACTGGTAGTGTGCTGTGTGTGTGTTTGTTAGGGTCCTGTTAGTGTGCTGTTTGAGGGTGCTGTTTTTGTTTGTGAGGGTACTGTTAGTGTGCTGTGTGTGTGAGGGTGCTGTTTGTGTGCTGTGTGTGTTTGTGAGGGTGCTGTATGTGTGTGGGTGCTGTATGTGTGTGGGGGGGGTGCTGTGTGTGTGGGTGATGTGTGTTCTGTTTGTGTGCTGTATGTGTGAGGATGCTGTGTGTGTGTGTGATGTTTGTTTTACTTTATGTGTGTGTGTGTGTGTGTGCGTGCTGTATGTGTGCGTGTGCTGGCTGTATGTGTGTGTGTGTGCTGTATGCGTGATTTGTGGGGGTGGAGGTGGGGGCAGATTAGTTAATAAATATCCCCCCTCCCTTCTTACCTTATGTAGGGAGGGGGGACCATGCTGCTGCCTTCCCTGGTGGTCCAGTGGACGTCGGGGCAGATTGCTTAATATCCCCCCTCCCTTGTTACCTTATGCCAGGGAGGGGGAATCCTTTCTGCTTTCCCTGGTGGTCCTAGTGGTGAGAGTGAAATCTAGCCTTCGGAGCTAGAGTTCACTCTCGCGAGATCTGAGCGTTGCTGCGGTAACCACGGCAACGCTCAGATCTCGCGAGAGGAACCTGGCGGAGCTGCTGGCAAGAGCTCCCCGGGTCCTCTCCTGCCTCCCTCCCTGCCTGTGGGTCGGTGAGGAGGGAGGCTGAGAGCAGAGCCGGCAGGGAAGATCCTGAGATCTCCCCTGCCGATCTCACTCCATAGGCGTGCCGCGGGGATTAGGGTGTGCCCCGGCACACCCTGTGTGCACGCCTATGCATAAGGCTATCCTAACTATACGATAAGGCCAGGGACTACTGAAAGTATTTAGAATATTGGGCAGACTAGATGGGCCGAATGGATCTGAGATCACATTCTATGTTTCTAATTTGACGTCCTAGGGCACTAGTCAGGCCTTAAAAGCTACTTACTACCGCAAGTCTGGACAGTCTATGTCACAGTAACCAGGAGTTTATTTCTACACACCAGAGCTGATTTTTCAGTTGCCCATGGCTAGTGCAAGTGGAAATTCTGAGCCCCGATTAACAGTGCTCCCAAAAGTCCCACTTTTAGCTGGACATGCCATTTTTCAGGGTCTTGTTTTGCCGTTATAATTTAGTTCTCTGGTTTCCCACATTCGCTGCTAGCTCAAATATAATGATGCAATCTCTTTTTTTTAAATGCCATTTATCAGTGCTGGCAAGCCTTGGCACACCAGATGGTTATGGTCAGCTATGCATCAGGAGCAATGTAATCCAAAAACATCTGGAGTGCTAAAGATGGCAATCTCAAGCTGTGCCACTCAAATGCCAGCTTTGAAAGATGGTGTATCCTAAACAATCCAAGAAGTCAAGGGGCTGAGTTGTTCCCCTAATCCACACATCCAAATATTTCACATTCTGTCAGTAACCCCATTAATGTGCATAAATACTGGTTGAGGGGAGCCTGCAGTCCGCAATAATCATACTGTCATTTACAAAGTTGTATAGGTAAATACAAATATATCTGCTGACACCTGGTGTTTATTTGGTGGTAATGCAAGCAGCTAATCAGGCAAGAAACAGCCTACAGGGTATTTAACCCCTTAAGGACCAAACTTCTGGAATAAAAGGGAATCATGACATGTCACACATGTCATGTGTCCTTAAGGGGTTAAAGTGTTGCGGTCAAAAGAATGGTGCAAAGTTCTAAAAGGTAAGGTCTCCATGGAAACCAGTGGAATCAGCAGAAACATTCCATTGGTGATAATGCCACTATTACAGCTAAGCATCACTCTCCCTTACTAAACAGTAAATGGGTGAATTAAAATACAAAATGCAAAATTTAGGACAAAAGAAATTTAGAAAAAAATCTCCAATTGGGCTATAATCACATATTGGCTATGTTAGCTTAATTTGTGCAATCTGGTATAAAAACTTTCCGTTTGAGGCTTTGGGGACGATTCATCAGACACGTCTAACTCTTGGCCTAGGATCTATTATAAGCCATTTGAATTTCATATTTAAAATTAAATTGCCAAAGTGTAAAAATTGTCTACGTCAGCAATGCTGGTCTCTTAACAGCCTCGATTTCATCAGAACAGAGTCCAGATTACAGGGTCCAGTCTCATTGTACCCAAACAGTAAAGATGCTATTTGGCAATTTTACAGGCACAGCCGGTATCTGAGTCGGTCTGTTGCAAAATGCCAGCAATGCAAAGACCTTTATTTTTCTCTAACTGGACGCTGGGATACTGGTGAGAAAAATTTTGTCAGAATCCACCTCTATTATACATATCTGGTACAGACATTGCTATATCCACACACACACACAACACAAAAAAAAAAAAAAACATAATTACAGTATACACTTTCACACACACACTCAGACACAGTATGCACACACTGCTATACACACACACACACACTCATTAACTCCATAAGGACACAACTTCTGGAATAAAAGGGACTCATGACGGAATATTTCCGTCATGTGTCCTTAAGGGGTTAAGACAGTATACACACAATGGCAAAACGATCTCTACACACAAGTTCCGCTACAATAGCCGGCCATCTACCCAGGAGGTTCTCCGTGAAAACGCACACTGTGAATCTGCCAACAGCAAACCAAAAGGAGAAATCACAGGCAACACCGACAGGATAGTGATGGTGTAAGTTTATTCAGGGGAATAATAGGAAAACGGACACTGCAAAGCCGGCAACAGCAAAGCCAAGAAGAAATTGCAGGCAGTACTCCCAGGATACTGTTGGCTTAAGTTTATTCAGGGGAATAAATGTACACCATCAGTATCCTGGACGTGCTGTCTGTTATTTCTACTTTTAGTATACATGTAATGACACACACTGCTATAGACAATATACACACAATGTGACAATATTATACTCACTGAGACACAATTTACACACTGAAACACTGTACACACACTGCTGCATGCACACACTCAGAAACAGTATACACATACACTGGTACATGACAGTCAGACATAGTGCACACATTGTATGTTTGTTTTTATTTTTTTAGTGATTTAAGGAGTTGTCCCCTTCCAAATAATTATTGGTTTCTCCTATGTCATTTCCTGTAATGTTATTCAACTTCCTGTGATGTC